AGCCCGGCCTACATCTCTCTTTAGAACCTGCCTCCGTCATATTAAACAATTGTAATACGAAAAACACGGGAACAAAGAAAGAAATGAAGATTCTACGGCTCATTTGGTTCTGTGAAGTGTTTAGAGGTTTAGATCTACGGGTAATAAGGCAGTTACAAGAATTTGCAAATTTATAACCCAGTGCCTTTTGTCTTTTGTTTCTGCTGATTATTAACACTTAACAAAGGGCTTAGGGTATCATCTCTGTTGTGAAGGCAATGGGTGACAGCTTCCTTTTCCGACATAAGAAAAAATTATAATCATAATAATTGCCATAATAACAGCGGCCGCAAGTGAGCTTCTTTTAGGCTAATTAAGAATACCTTTAAAACATATAACTCAACGAAAGGGCAAAACACGTTTTTGTTGTTATTTGATTAACTGGTAAAAGGTTTTGGGATGATCGGTGTATTCTTTTATAAATTGCTCTCAAATAAATGATACATTTTTTGCTAGCACCTAAAGGAACAGACCAAATTTGCACCCCTTCTTTATCATAAGAGGAAGTAATTCCCTTTTTTGCCAGACAATGTGCTGTGCAAGGTCGTTTTGTTACTGTAGGCTGAGCATATACCCCTGCTTAAGGCATTCAACGTCATTAGAAAATAGCACTCTTGATAAGTGCCATTTTGGATTTTAGCTATTTGTGAAATAAACCGTGGTTAAGCTACATTTTTAAAGACTATTTTGATATGAATGTTTTGCTGTTTTTTTTTGGAATTTTGCTTATGTGACTATTGAGGACGTCACTGGGAGATAAAGACCTTACGTTGTTAGAATTACTGTGTAGCATATGTCCCGTTCCTTCTTAATTTGTTTAGGACAGAAATACCTTAATCTAAGGTACTGAAACCCATTAATTTTATCAAAAAGATGCTCAAAACATTCTTCCTCGATCCGCTATGGGCTTTTCTTTCATTGGTTGGTCAGTGATTTGTTGGTCTGAGTTAATGCTCCAGTCACACTAAAAAAGCAGCTAGAAATGGCCCATCGTAAGAAGGTTTCATACAACAAACGTCACCACCCTCGTCAGCTAAACTAAAGTTCGCATGCATCACATCGAAGAACAACAAACTTAAAATTAAATGTCTTTTCATTTTACCCATTATGCAACTCAACTAAACCAACCCCAGTCTAGTGCACTCGTGCTGCAGAAATTTATTTGTATTGACTCAAAGGCCAGAAACCCCATATTTCTGTATCTTTACAAATATAACCTTGCAGCATTGTTCTGTGAAGATAATAATAAGCCCGTATTCATCATATATCATAGCTCTTCTTATGAATTATGACATCACTGACTTCTCTGTAGCCCAGTAAAACACCTCGTTCTGTTTCAATTACATGACCACGTGGATTTTAAATGCAACATAATAGTCTATACCAGTCAGGGACTGTACTATACAGCAAGATGAAAACAATTTTACCGGCGATGAATAACTTGCGAAAAAGCAATCGTTACTATACATATATGTTATAAACATTTTACGTTACACAAACCTGTCCGGGGACAAAAAGTCTTTTTCCATTTTTGCGCCGATTGCACATCATTAAACCAGGTCGACATGGTTTGGTTTCTACTTGAGAGAGCCATGTTAAATGTACCAAAAGTACAACTATGACAAAAAGCCTTATGCTACAGTTCATTTTTGGATAGTTAAGTCCTTGTAAATTTAAGCTTGTTAGAGTATAGCAAAGCGATAACACTTTGACAACGCTGTTTAATGATTCGGCGAAGCTTTAATAGCAAAGATCACTAAAAATGCAGGGATCTGTGAATTGCTTTGGCGGTGCGAGTTATGACAGGTAATCAATAACTAGACCAAGTAAATGCAGAGGTGTTTCAACAAATGCTTTGAAAAATATAATAGCTTTGGGTGGATCAAAATTTCCTTTAATCAAGGACAGCAAATCAAAGAGAAAATAACGAATATTAAAGTAGCAAAGAAAACTTTTAATGCGGCAGCTTGGCCAGAGAAAAAAGTAATAAATCTCATTGTCTTAACGATCATATTGTGAAGTTTGTAGGCCCGAATTTATTGTTTGCTGTGTGCTTATTAAAAGTAAGTTAATTCTGTTTATTTATTTTCTACCACCTGCCAATTTCCATACTTTGCCACATCATCGACAGCAGTATAGTAGTGATTTTTACTTGTTTATTATCCACTTGAGCTGAGAGCCAGAACTCAATAATGTCTTCCTCCAAGTATCTTGAAGAAGACTTGGTAATAGAACTGTTGGCCTTAGTACAATGTCTCGCATACCTGATGCTTGGAGGGAGCTTTTTAATTATGAAAAATTGAAATTGTAATCGTTTTGATGGCATAAATAGCATTTCAATTACTTTTTTAATCTACTGAAAACTAAACACAACAAGGGCTCATGTACTCAATATTTGAACGAGCAATGAAAATCTTCATGTTTGAAAGGAACCGACCAGAAAAACTTCTGATAGCAATTTCCTAGAACCTTTTTCTCTAACCTGGAGTCGGCACCAAAAATGTGTGTTAAGAAATAAATCAGAAAGAAATGTTTGACTGTAAATTTACTTAACGGTTCGTAATATGTTTCATTAATAAGCTTTTCGCGTCTTTCTTGTCTATGATTTCTTTTACTGCGTTTCGATCACAATAGCATCTGTCATCGCGCAATCAATCATCATTAACAAAAATTAACGTTTTGATCGCCAACCATTATCAGGTTACTTCACCAGGTGCTTGAATAGTTTGATGACTATCGAAATTTAGAAGCAAAATTTGGCATTAAAATTTATAGTTATACTTCTTTTTGATTAATCACAATCAAAATTGAAAAGGAAAATTTAAAACTTTGTGACCATTAGAAAGCGGTGTTCTGGACCAGCAATCACAAATCCTTCAGTGAATATCATGACCCATGTATTCCTAAACCATTTATGGTGCATCAATCAAATGGGAGAAATTGTTAGGTTTATTGCTGGAACCTTCTAGCGGTTGCTGCCTCTTTCCTGGGACGGTAACCACATGAACGTGAACGGAACTTAAGAGTGTAATTTTCATTTTTTTATGCTAAAATCACTCTAATCATTAACGCGTTTGTCTGATCCTCTGAGGTCTTGCAACAAATATATGTTTCTTCTTAAAAAGAAAACATTTTCCCCGAAAAGAACAAATTAATTTAAGATAGGAATTATTCTGAAAATTGTCGTTATGGCCGTGAGGGGATAGCTGTTCAAAATCTGCAGACAATGCGTGTTCAAATGTAACCGCAGCGAATAAACTCGTCTTCAAACCTTGAGCAACGCAAAAATGTACCCTGTCACAGCGTTGGATCGACAAATTAAACCACGACAAACTAAAAACGAAATAATATAAAATAAAATATTAAGTAAAATGGCTTGTATACCGCTGGGAACATCAAGCATTATCTTGAAAAAAAACTAGCTAAGTTGGTCCAGTGACTGTAACTGACGTATTATCTCTTGGAGTGACACCAAGTAAACTCTTTTTTACTTTATTCTACCAAAGGGTTCGGTACTTTCAAAGAAAATAATAAAAATCTCTCTTTTTTTTCATTCTGTAATACAGGAAGACGGCGCCTTTCCCATTGAGTCAGGTCGTTTTACATTGCTGTATTTGTTCTTTTTATAAACTTTATCTTACTTGACAGGGAGACGAAATATTACTCATCAGTCTAAGAGCAGGAAATTAACTCAAACTCATCTTCATTTGTAGATCAAATCTGTCGACATGATATGCAACTCCTCATTTTACCGGTGATTCAATCACCCAAAATCAAACAAAAGATTTTCTTGAAAGCCTATACCTTCTTTGGAACGTCTGATCATGAGCGTACGATAATAGAGACATGTGTGACAAGTTGAAAATTCTTCTCTTTTCGGATGAAAAATCGCATTTTCCATTCCAGCGATGTTAACTATTAGTGAACTTTTGTAGGTGGCCGATCAACACAATGACGGTTTTTATGGAGACAAATACAAGCTAAATATTCCATATTGAATAAATGAAGCCGGTGAACGCAATTCCGTTTCCTTTTAATCTTATTCGCGCATTAAAAGCTGAATCTATTAGGTTAAAAAGATTGTTCCGTCGGCGTCCGCAACTAGTTATGTGTTTCACGATTCTTTTGTGTAATCAACCACATATACTTTGCTGTGAATATAACTACATGCAATTTACAGGGATAGGCAGGGAGGAATTACGACTGTTAATTGGAAAATACAGTTCTTCGTAAAAACGGAGCGAAAATTGTGATTGATCATGATGTGCAATAGGACAATTTAGTTTCATAATTCACAGGTCTTTAAAGACGTCATAAGTGAAAATCCTTTCAGGTGAAACATTTGTCACTTACATAACATAAAAACACTTGTAAGGCTTTCAACTTCAATATCACTAACAATTTTCCAATCAAAAAAGACGCTAAGATTTCTGAAGAATCGTGTATTATTAAAAACATAAAAGCTGTGTGAAATGGACGTAGCATCTTTAATACATTTTATAATTCGTACGACATTATTGGTTAGTGCACACTTGACAACACAAGTTGAGGCGTTATTCATGTTTTGAATCGAATCATCGTTTCCCGTAATAATAAATCACTAAGTCTATGAAAGGTATTAGAAACTAAAGAAGAAATTTAAAGTTATTTGGAGTCCAAACCAATAACGCGCGGCAACCAATCGTGGATGGCTATTTAAAAGTCCATTCTTTTTAGCGAATACTTTGTTATTGTCTAAAGCCTTCAGAACGTAAGAGGAACAGGAAATTTATTATCCATTTAAGTCTAGTAATAATTGCAAAGGGGAAGACATTTAAACGGCCGACTCGTTTTAACTTTTAGTGCTTCTTGACTAGCTATTGTTTTAGTTTTTACATGAAGGAAATAGTTTTATTATGTTCAGAAGAACCAAATGTAAAATCAACACCCATAAATCAGTTTATTGAACTTGTAGGCTGTATAGTGATATAGATTCTCTCTGATTCATACCACTAAACACCTCAGCCATTCCCGATGCTCTATAAGGAGAAATCAAGTCTTCAGAGCCTTTATTAGTTCAACTGAAACTTATTGCAAGAGACCCCTACGCGGTTAACTTTTCCGCCTGTTCTTTTTGTCTACCAAAATGAAAAACGTACCTAAGTTGACACTATTGATTCTCGTTTATACATTTCTCTTTCTGGACCGATCAAGTCACGCTCGCCCTCGGTGCCATCCTGGTTCAATGGTTTGCGTTTCTGGTCGTTCTTTTATCCAGGTACACAGTACTTTGTTTTGTATTTTATCCCAGTTGCTGTGTAATATCACAGCGGCCACGAAATCTTTAAGTACGTTGTCACTGTAAAAAACAGAATTAAAATAAGAGAAATTGAAAGGGGGAAAATTTTCAGGAAAGTCTCATTAACTTTCCATTTATCGTCCATCTTTTCTCCTGGTACGTCTTCAATGGACCAAATTTAGTATATTTACATCTTATTCGATTTTATATAATCTTCACAATTACATGTACCTTGCGCTAAGATCGTCCGAGTTTGGTTCATAAATTCTTGAATATAATTAACATTTTAACTTTTAACTGCAACGCCGAGAACAGAAAAAATATAAGGTTTCGGTTCTGCTGGAACATTGTTCGTAGCCTGCTTAAAATTGCTCGGTCCACAGCTCACACTTCATTCTTATGAAGAAGCTACTATCCTTCCATGCATAGCGCCTTCAGTGTTTTGCGCAGGTCAGTTCACTTAAATCGGGGGAAGGGAGTTTTTCTGACTTTGCCATGTTGTCAAATCTCCTGTGCTTAGTCGTCACTGATAGATGCAGCTGTGTGTTAATTATATACAAATTCTACTCTTGTTTGTTTAGAACTTAAATTTCCCTCCAGCGGATTCCACTCAAAATGAAGCTGAAGATAGCTGGGTACTGGACACTACTCAAAGAAAGTCCTTTTCTTCAAAACTTAGAAACTTACAAAAGATGAAAAACATCTAGATCGCAGAGGATTATAAACGTAAAGAGTGGAATGGAAATAGAAGGACAAGACGTTAAATCAGCATTTTTTCATTCTGCCTCAGAGCCGAAGGTTAAAGTATTGTTGAATCCTGCATTTTTCCCTTAAAACTTTGAAGATACTGAAAGTAAATAGCACACACTTCTGTTAAACTTATAGGCGGTGACAATTGTTGTAACGTTCTCTAGTTTCAATAAAGTCTTTATAGACGATGAAATCTACGACATTTGATTTGTTAATTTGTTTCATTTTTGTGGCTTTTAATCTGGATAGAGTTGGGAAAGTTATATTTTCTAGGAGGCATCGGTAAGACTTAACTGTATGGCAAGGCCATCATGAGTGGTCTCTTGAAAGATGGCACCTTCTTACCTTCGTAGAGATAGACTGTTTATTTAAGTCCTTAGTTCTACCGAATTCTACGTATTGCCTTTTTGTCTATGGAGCGTCTGAATCAGATTTGAATATTATACAACTTTTTTTGGATCGCTCTCACAAGCACCGCTTTGTTTCTTCTCCCGTTTCTATTAAGGATTTTTTATATAGACAGGACTGCAAGATTTTAAACATCCGCTGGGCTGGTATTTACCACCAACAAAGGAGAATAAGTATAATCTGCGTAAAAAACAGTGTGCCCTCCCCAAGTTTAATACCGAACGATTTATGACATGTTATGTACTATTATTATTATTATTATTATTATTATTATTATTATTATTATTATTATTATTATTATTATTATTATTATTATTATTATTATTATTATTATTATTATTATTATTATTACTATTTCTACTACTACGAAGCATGAGAAAATTTGTAGCATAAAAATTGTTCTTTTTATGTTTATCGTGCAGGAGATCTGTCAAAAACAAATTTTCTTTCCGGCTATGAATTGAACAAGACTTGCTGACGATAATTTAAAGTAACTGGAAATTAAAACACTTCAGGTTAACACTTGGGAATTGACATTTCAACTAAAGGATTTACAAAAACAGGATTTAACAGAGCTTGACGGTAAAAATCGCCGAGAAAAAAAGCTTTTTTGCGGCGGATGGCAAAAATAATTTTTTTTCCAATTTTCTTCAAAAACATTTTGCAGGTTGAGTTCCTATAGAAAATGCAATACCTGCAATATGGAGGTCATGGGGGTTTTATTTGGGAAGAAATGACGCTTTGAAGTTCACACCAAATGACGTGACTAGTGTCAAAATGTCCAACTTCAGCTGGCTAAGTATAAAAGAGGAAATTGCGGGCTCGGGCATTTCAACAGCGCTTATTTTTTGCCAGTGCCATTCAAATATGTATTATTTTGTGAATTTCAGGTCAAAAGTTGTTTTCTTTTGATAGTTGTTTAATAAACGGAGTTTAAATCTCGTAAGCGCTAAACTAGCCAAAACAGTTGCTTAAAAATTGCGTGAGAAAAAAACTGCAAAGTTCTGTGGGTCCAGCCAATTATT